CACGCCACTGGGGAGACAAAGGCGGTCGGCCACAGCGCTGGCCAACCACCACCCTCGTGTGCTGTGACGGCCTTCATAGGTGCTCGCTGACAGCACTTGACCCCACGGCCTGTTAAGGCTACACGGGGGGCTTTGTCTTGTCATAGGATAGAATACATATCTGTGCACATGTGCTGTGAAGTGTCACCATAACACTTCGGGTGAAAAAACACTCGCTAACAGCACTAAGCCGAAACCGGTAATTTAAAAAGTCAAACATACTTGTTTTTACCAACGTGCTCAAAATGGATTCTTAAAACATAATAATAATAGAGGACGTGTTTTAAAATGATTATCACTAGGTCCAAGGCCAATTATGAGTGACTGCGTATGACCTATCTGGCAGGAGAAAACCCCATTATATTCTTAAGAGACGTCACCAAATAAATATAAATAAATACAATATATTACAATATTCAACGTTAAATAAAGATCTTCCATTTGCTTTGTCACATTCATTGTAAATAAAACAAACCCATTAACATTATTATAAAATAAACAACAATTGCCACCCCCGACCAGATTTAATATATGTAAAAAAGGCCCAACACAAATTTCAAATGCCACAAATCAAGTTTTTCGGTGTGTGCTCGTATGAACGCATGTACAAAATAAAAAAGCAAGAGACTTTATGAAATACAGAAAGCGAAAGAAAGAGGGGTTTTAACCAAATGAGTCTCTGTGTGACCTTTGTCGACCACAATTAAATGTAACACACGGGGTGAAAGTTTTTTTTCTTTTTCTGCCGGGTAGAGAGACGTTGCAAACCAATATTGGTAAAGGCATCTGACTTGGAGCAAAGTTCATTCCATTGTTGGAGTCAGCCCTGCTACATCAGAATGAAAAATGGGCAATAGTATTTGGCTTCCCAATGTTTCCATGCTGGCTCTCCAATAACTTTCAACTGGACTTGATGTATAGCATTGTCTGCCAACAGCTCGTGTTCTTCGATGTGCATATAAACGCTCCGATCTCCATCTAATTTCGTAAAGCTGCTCATTCCACAACGGTAGGCATTAACTCCACGGTAAATTGATCCGGTGGTTGAAAATTCCACATTGCCATGGCAGGGGCACATATATCGAAAATACCTTTCTACCATCATTCAGAAGTGCCGGCTCAATGTCCCTGAATTGAACAAAATAAATTTAGCACCACAAGTCACCCGGCCACCCACACAAATGCGGCAATTTAGCTCAAAGAAACTGATAAGAGCCCTGGAAATTAATTCACATTTGTGGGCGCCAAACGTCCACTCAAGAAAAGTGGTTAAAAAAGTTTGTGGGATCCAAAATGAGTGTCAAAGGTCGTCTTTGCCACTGCACGATGAGTTTACAGAGCCACATGTCACGGTATTCATGCCAACAGACAATTTGATAGTGCTGTGTGCGTCTGAATGCGTTTTCATTTTCCGTTTATTCGTTCCATAGTTTTTTACCTCTTGTTTTTTTTTTCCACAGTGGGCTTTTATTGTGACAAATGACTTATGTTATATATACTGCTCTATAACAGATACCATGATAACCGTATTTGTGCAGTGGTTATAATGGATAGTTAGACTTAATCTGTGCAATCTCCATTTTCGTGCCCACGTCTCAAGCATTGAACAAGGGTGGTCCAAATATTTCTGAGCCGAATACCAAAATGATATAAAAGAGAACATTGATGTTGTGGCTACTTACAGTCCACGTTGAGGATACTGAAATCACCAATATATTAGCTCGCTTTGTTCCCTACGTATGCTTAATTAATCAGCAAGTAGACTATGATGGATGCAAAAGAAAATCAGAAAACAATGCGTTGTGCTATCGGCAAAATGTTGCCTCCTAGAGACAATTGGACCAAATTCAACTTCCAAATGCATTTTTGAAGGTGTATGGGTTATAGCCCAGCAAACGTGAAACGTTGGGCAAGTGGTTTTAACCACATGTCAACGCTGGCCCAAAGTCACGTGTGCTACTGGGAGCACACCCGTCATATACGCAAACAGAACACAACTCCCGCAATGCCTTGATTGCGTGTCACGTGACCACCGCAGTGCACGTACGATGCCCTCGGCCTTGTCGACGCCACCAGTTTGGGGAGTTCAAACGTGTGGCCGCATTGCCGTGTTACCGTTTATGCCGCCGACGAGTTGAAAAATGAGGCCGTCCCGACAGTTAAAGCAGTGGGCAGAAGAATGTTGTGAAGGCAGACGGACTCGGTGAAGGTGACCCCGGGTCAAGAGCAGGTTGTCAATGCGGGAAAGGAGGGACACAACAAGGCTGTGCCAGGCATGGTTTTTGGAAGACCATCGCTGTACTACTGTTGCCCAGTCGGCTGACACTTTGTGTGTATGTATGTATGTTCAACTTATTTAGCACCGTACATTGCCAACCGTGCTAATCGGAGGTGCGGGGGAAGGACAACAAACTAAAACACAAAAAGCAGTTCTAAAGAATTGAATTTTCAATCTAGATTGAAAAGTGCATAGCTCCAGTGGTTTCCTAATATCGGAAGGAAGAGCGTTCCAGGCGGCCGCAGAAGCGCATCTGAAAGCGCGCGATGCAGTGGCCGCATTTTGTTCGATGGATGCTTTGGGCAATAGTGTAGGATCAGTGGAAAAGATCTGGCACCATCACTTGGGAACGATCAGGATGTGTGCACGCTGGGTCTCCAGAATGCTGGCACTCGGTCAACAAACGGACACATCTGACAACTTGTCGTGACAATCCTGACTTGGTGAGGGCAGACTGGACCAAGTTTTAACGGTGACTTATTACCAGTGAGGAGACCTGGATTTACAAGTCTATGCAGCGGTGCCCACTCTTCCACGATGGCGGTTCGGCAACAACCGCAGGCCCCAACTCAATCTCTCCAGCGCTCAAGATGTTCAAGTCGGAGTGCTATGCAGGCAAGATCATAAGCGCCGTGCTTCAGAGTTCCAAAGGTGCGGTGCGTATTGACCGATTTCCACGCGCGGAGATGATCACAGGCCGCAACTGTGATGCGTGCTCGCTTTGATCGGTTGGAAGAGTCAATGAGAGAAAACCTCCTTGGCTTCTGCAGGACAGTGCCTCAGCACGCGCCGCGAGAGCGTCAACAAAGGCTGCCGTCAAGGATCGCCCATTCGAGGAGCTGCCTCGCTATTCTCCGGACCTGGCTCCCACTGACTGCCACACGATGCCGATGGTGGTGATGATAGCCATGGCTGTGACGGTGACACTTACGACAGCGATGATGATAAGGATGCTTGACGATGATGATGATGATGGTGAGGATGATGATTGTGATCACGATGAGCTGAATGGAGGCTGTACAGAGAAACCTGAAAGGTTATTTATGGAGGAAATAAAAGTGTCTTTAGAAGACGATATGAAACATGCATTTGTTATCGAGGGTGACTATGTGAAAAGAATTAGCGGCTCTTATTGGATTATGTCCTTTGTGTGTATGTTAGGCTCAGGACGTTCTGTACCACCCTCACATATATAAATCAACGTGTGCTGTCTCCATAAAAAAAACGCAAAATAGTTAATTGTACCAAATTAAAAACTATAACAAGAGCAATGTAAGGTATACAACCAATTGTGATCCGGGATTGCACAGTGGCCTAAACAGTGGTGGAATGGGAGTTTCTACTATAAGCAATTTGTTTGTGTAAATTCACAACTGGACTTACTCGATTCAAGTGTACCACAAAACCGGTAATGATGGGACAATTTCAAATCGAATATTATAATAACAGTAAATATTTTTTGGTAATATTTACATGACAACTTTTTAATTTTATAACCAACCATATTGTGTATAAAGATTAGTTTGAAGGTATATATGTGTGTATTTAAAGTTGAACGTATCATTCTCCGAGGACAAAAGGGTCACGTGTCATTTCGCTAATTAATTGCAACGTATTTTGTGTCAGCTCGTGTGCTTTTGTTGGAGCCACGGCGAGACTTTGACGCCCGAGTGAAGCATATGTGGATCGTAAGTTACTTAATTTCAGATGTTCACATAGGGCTTGCTGGATTAATCCGCATAAACATCGTGGCTCACAAGAAGTCCTTCATTTTTTTTTGCTATTGGTATTCCTGTGACATTTTTCCCCCTCCCCCATTATCATGACGATTACTGTCTTATGTTTTGGCAGAAGAGTAGTGTTCACTTAGTAACGGGGACGACTGAAACGTGCCAACACCTTTCGCTGGCGGAGTGTTACAAAACGGTGATGTGTGTGCCTCCTGTGGAAGGTCCGGGTTTAAGAGGTCGCGGCCGACAGCAAACACCCCCCACCCGACCCCCTTCCAACTTCTTCACGGATCTCTAAAATGTCAGATCCGATCGTGGATCTTACGGACAAATAAGTTCCTCGCATCGGTCGTTTTGTTTTCTTCTTCTTCTTCTTCAACACCAGTCCAGATGACGAAGCTCTTCCAGCACGATGATCCCAAGGGGGAGGGCTCTCGACATTTCGCAGAATGTCCACTGCTACGGGAGATATTCCTCGGGCGTCCTGTCTTGAACGACACTTGCGCTGTTGCATTACACATCAGCCACTTTGGTGACTCAAAGAACCTTAATTTCATTAACAGCGGACTAAGCATCCCAAGAATGTCAATTTATATGTATATATGTTCAACGAGGTTGTAATCTTTGATTATTGTTATTTCCGCTGGAAGACCTGAAACGCGATTACACATATCGTTGCTTTTGTTATTCGCCGCACCTTACGCGTGTGCTGCGCGTGTGTGTGTTTGTGTGTACCAACACACAGGTATACATTGTTAACGATACAAACGTGGACACGTGTATGTGCGACGCGTAGTCTATACGCACACACGTACATACACGCACGTGCACATCAGCTTGTTTTTTTCTTCTTCTTCTCCTCCTCCAGTGTCGAGACAAAGGCGTGCGTATTGTTGTTGTTGTTGTTGTTTGCTGCTGTCGTTGTTGTCGGGCAGGTTGCGGGGGGGGGGGTGGGGGGCGGCGGGGGGGAGGAGGTGGGGGTCACACCTTGGCCTCCAGCATCTCCAGGAATAGTTTGTGCATGGGCACCTTTCCCTCCAGCTTGACGGAGTAGAAGTGCTGCACGGCGCGCGTTGCCGTCTGCCGCAGCAGCGGCAGCGTCATGAGCAGCTTGCCAGCGCGCCGCGGGTCCTCCGCGTGCTGGCTGCCCTGGAGCTCCTGCAGGGCCTCGTGCAGGACGTCCTGCAGCTTCTGCACGCCCTCCACGTCCTCGATGTGCATGGAGTCTGCGGCGGGGCGGGTGGGGCGGGAGCCCAACAACGGAGGCAGAGGCAAAGTGAACTGGCGTGGCGATGAGACGAGCCGCCGAACGAATTAACCTCACCGCGCGGTGTGACCGGTGCATCTGACGAACGATATTTAATTGAGCGGCGCTTGTTTGGCCTCGTCCACGCACCTCCTCCGTCAACGTACGAAAAATAAGGGCACATTTTTTGACACATCCCGTCAGCTGCACGGCCTTCTGGGTGAGCGTACATTCAGAATTAATAATACGAGAAGAGGCTTTACCCTTTCTGGCAATAAAACAGGTGTTGAGGTGTTCAAACACCAAATATATACTTATTGAGAGACGTGTGTTGGTTACACACACGTAAGGCAGTGGGTATCTATTTATTTTAATCGTTTTTGATACTGGCAAAAAAAGGTCCTATAGATTCACGAATGTTGAACTTCTTTCACACTACGTAGCCAACCTTGGCAATTGGCAGGTGCAGAATCGTTCAACGCAAGCGAGCTCTAAACCAGCATCAACATTTAGTGCTCATTTAAACGGCTGCACACGGAAGATAATTCATCGCTCCGTCTCCCCGGCAGGCATCCTGGGTCAGACGCATTCCCTACCTTGGATTCCACTCCCACGTCATTATTCTCAGACATCGGCCATCATTCCCTTCCAGTGAATAGCTCTGCCTGAGCCACGTTGTGGTGCCGTATGTATGTACATATGTTCAACTTCTTTCACACCGTACGTAGCCAACCGTGCTAATCGGAGGTGCGGGGGAAGGACAACAAACTAAACACGAAAATAAATTCTGCAGAAATGAGTTTTCAATCTAGATATAAAAGTGCATAACTCCAGTGGCTTCCTAATATCGAAAGGAAGAGCGTTCCAGACGGTCGCAGAAGCACATCTAAAAGGGCACAATGCGGTGACAATCTTTGTTCGATGGCTGGCCAAAAGCTGCTGCTGCGAGGATGACCGGAGTTCCTATTATGGTTTATGCTCCTTGACGAGATCAGCAAGGTGTTGTGCTTAATTTGTAGAAAGCACTTTATGTGTAATGAGTGCGACCTCATAATGTATTCGTTCGGGAACCGGAATATTTGTTCGGCAAGTCACCAATCATCCAAAACGAGAACCCTCGCGAAAAAAATAATCTATTATATATTTAAATATGGGAAGAATGTTTTTTTTCTATCTTATTTAACGGTTGCTAAGTTGTTAATACTATTAATTTTAATCCTTATTTTATCCAGGAAAGCTTCACTAAGCATCGAGACTTTGGTTGTTGCCCAGCTGGTTAGGGGTTTCACTGCACACAATGAAGTCTGTGAGACACCATAACTCGACACCCCAAAAGTTCTGAAATAAAAGGGTACGTAATCACTTTTATACGGATAAAATATATGAATAAAGGATTATGGAGCAGATTAAAAAAACTGACGTATCAATGAATAAACAAACTAGTTTATGTATTTTACCCTCTTAATATAACAATAAATGTAAAGGTGCAGTGCTGTAAATTTCACTTATGCCACTGCTGGCAGAAGGGGCCTCCACTAGAGGGAGCTCCTTGGCTTATTCTACCACGTTGGCCGGACGTCTTGGAAGTAGCCACACTTTAACCCACCGCACGTGGAACCTGGAGATTGACTAGCCGTGGCTGTACCGTACTTTCCACTGCTGGGTGGACATGGGTGGTGAACGGAGGTGGTGGCGAATGGGGAGAAGCATTCCAATTGTTTCAGTCCACGGTGCGAATGTGGCCCTGCAACCCAAACCACCACATAGTAGACCACCACGCAGTAAACCAACAGGCCGTAGACCACCATGCAGTAGACCACCACGTAGTAGACAACCACGTAGTAGAACACCACGCGGTAGACCACCACGTAGTAGAACACCACGTGGTAGACCACCACGTAGTAGACAACCACGTAGTAGAACACCACGTGGTAGACCACCACATAGTAGACCACCACGTAGTAGACCACCACGTAGTAGACCACCATGCAGTAGACCACCACATAGTGGACCACCACGTGGTAGACCACCACGTAGTAGACCACCACGTGGTAGACCACCACGTAGTAGACCACCACGTAGTAGACCACCACGTAGTAGACCACCACATAGTAGACCACCACATAGTAGACCACCACGTAGTAGACCACCACATAGTAGACCACCACATAGTAGACCACCACGTAGTAGACCACCACATAGTAGACCACCACATAGTAGACCACCACGTAGTAGACCACCACATAGTAGACCACCACGTAGTAGACCACCACGTAGTAGACCACCACATAGTAGACCACCACATAGTAGACCACCACGTGGTAGACCACCACATAGTAGACCACCACGTGGTAGACCACCACATAGTAGACCACCACGTAGTAGACCACCACGTAGTAAACCACCACGTAGTAGACCACCACGTAGTAGACCACCACGCAGTATACCACCACGTAGTAGACCACCATGCAGTAGACCACCACATAGTGGACCACCACATTGTAAACTACTGCAGTGTGCACTCCTTCAATGGAGGAATAACACAACTATATGTACGAACTGTCTCCCGCAACCTCTCTCGTGGCTAGTGTTCAGCTCCTAAACATGTTGCCATGCGCAGGAATAGAATCGAATTGTTTCAACTCGTACTCACTGGCACGACCGCCGTGTAATGTGCATTAACTACCTCGATGCCAGTTATTCAACGTTGCTCACGCAAATGTGACCGATATTGGTGATCTGTCACAGTTGACGAGCGCAACTGTACTGGATATTCCCACGGCCTAAAATTAGCGTGACCAACTTAGACATTCGCTACTGATCAAAGCACTCCTGTGATTATGCTCAGCAATGTGTTAACACTGACCACATGAGCTAAAATTAGGAGTTCCGCTTTGCAGTCTGTAAGACTTATATGCCCTCAAAGCTTTCTAACCTACGTAAGAGGTGGCTGGCCAACAATGTTTAGGCCGAAAGGTAATGTACGTATTCACGCCATACCTCTCAATCCTTCTCACTTCAATGGCCAAAGCTGACCGCCGCTTCCTATGGAGTTAATCTCGCAACTTGCTCATCGTACCCAAAACCAGAATTTAACTTGGCTAAGCAACATTTCTCCGCGAGCTGAACAGTCACCTAGAACTCTCTCCGACTGAGCATTCAAAGCATCCACACACTATCCACCAGCAGCAGCTCAAGGCTTCCACCCGTTCAGGCTGCCACCCATCCAGGTTCTCACCTGTCCAGAATATCACCTGTCCAGGCTCTCACCTGTCTAGTCCCTCACCTATCCAGGCTCTCACCCGTTCAAGCTCTCAACTGTTCAGAGTCTCACCAGTTCAGAGTCTCACCTGTCCAGAATGTGACCTGTCCAGGCTCTCACCTATCCAGGCTCTCACCTGTCCAGGCTCTCACCCATTCAGTCTCTCAACTGTCCAGGCTCTCACCCGTTCAGACTCTCACCCGTCCAGGTCCTCACCTATCTAAGCCCTCACCTGTCCAGGCGCTCACCTGTCCAGGCCCTCACCCGTTCAGACTCTCACCCGTCCAGGCTCTCACATATCCAGGATCTCACCTGTTCAGGCTCTCACCTGTCCAGGCCCTCACCTATCCAAGCCCTCACCTGTCCAGGCCCTCACCTGTCCAGGCCCTCACCCGTTCAGGCTCTCACCTGTCCAGGCTCTCATCCGTTCAAACTCTAACCTGTTCAGGTTGATATATGAGGGACTTTGAGCTCTGGCTCCGTGTTTGGTGAAAAAAGTGCACTTTACAAATTGTGTGTATTATTGTTATTAATTTGTTATTCTGCGTATCGGTCACAACTTGGGTTTCTGTGCCATGGCGATCCTGCAATAAATAATTCGCTATAATAATTGGACGGTAATCGTGTCGTATGTTTTGTTAATGAGAATTATACCGTGATTACCCGTTGCTCATTTACATTTTTTTCATAATTTATTTCCTGATCAGATATTTATGGGATAATAAAGGAAGCACAATAAGTTAAAATATGGCAATAAACAGCTATGAACCATTTCATGAGTGATTTGCTATTTTTTTCCCGAGTAATTGGCAGCATAGTGATTATATGAGCTCATCGATTTCGAATACAGTTAAATTATTTATTGTGTAACTGACATACGTTACAGAGAATAAAGTTGCAATTATTAAAATTGCTCGCGTGAAATGGAGCTAAAGACATTTTGAGTAATCTTTAATTAGTGGGTAGAACAAATCACAACAATACAATAACATCGTGAAATTCAATCACAAAGTTATGGGAAACCTGATATCGCAGTAATTCCACCTGTTGTGTGTAAATTAATATTGTATCTTGAATAATAATGTTGCAGGTAAACCCAGTTACATGCACTTCTCAAGTGTTCATGGATTTGTGCGCATGGCTGGTTGCGAAAGGCAGTGTTGGGGCGGTGTGAATCTTGCATTCGGTTCAGAGAATCCGCTTTGACCAATTCCCAGCCGTGCACGCTGCTAACCCCCGCTATCTACCTCTGCACCTGATGATATAGGTTATGTTAGCACCATCCTACAATTAGCATCCGATAGTGGGCGTGTAAACATGAGCCATCGGGAGACAAAGTTGGCAAGGCATGCATGGTGCTTGCCTATCCCATGACCTTAAGTTTAATAGGTGCTTACGAACAGTTCTAGCCACCAATATATCCAACGGGATAGAACAACAACCTTTCTGTCATATTATATGTTGGTGTTACTAATGTCATAGATTATTTTGGCCCCCGAATTGCTCAAACGGTGGTGATTATTGAAAAACTAAGGCCTTTTTTATGCTTCGACTCATCAAGATTGTCTCTTACTGAGAGGTTAATAGGTTCCATTGCGTGAAGCCACTAAAACAAAAAGCCCCATACAGATGTCGCAACCAAGAGTATGTTTTGTTAATATGTCAATTTAAATCATATAGAAAACAAAGACACTGGTCCCCCGTATCAACCTTAACAG